CCGTCTCCTCATGTCGGGATGTCCTACCATCTTGGGTGGCCATTTAAAGAACGGAAGGTGTTGAACTTTAGACATGACCGTGCTGATCGACTCCGATAACTCCGTATATTTCTTGTCCCATGCCTTATGCGCCTGGTATCTACTTAAAGTTGTTTATTAGCTTGGTGTGAACATTGGTCATTTGATCGGCGCGAATCTCGTCTTTTGTCTCATTTAGCCTGATTCCATGATTTAAGGCTCCGTGATGGTATAGAATTTATCGGCTAAACGATTTCAGATGGGGCTGTCTTGTTGGCCTTGTGCCCGACTTTGACCCGTAGGGTGTCATCTTCCATTTTGCAGTATTCCTCGACTTTCTTCATTAACGGCCAGACTATTTTGGGAGGCCTTCTGGTCAAGGAGCTGCGGAGGGCACTATCAGTATGTAATCCCATCTCAAAGGCGGTGATGGTCATGGAGTCATTGTAGGCATCATCTACTAGATTAAAGCATTCTCAATAGCGCGCCGAATATGCGCGTAGGGTTTTCCCTGGTTAGATCTACATTGCCTAGAGGGAATCGGCCTGCTTCAGCTGGACCTCATTGGTGATGAACCTTGCCCTGAAGGATTTTTGGAGTTGATGGAAGCTCTTAATCGATGCCGGTTCCAATTTATAACACAATTTGACTGCCAGTGGTCCCAAACTGCTCGAAAATATTCGACACATGAGGGCTTTGCCGTCTGCATGAAGCGTCATGGCTTGCTTATAATGACGAATGTGATCAGTGGGGTCCGATTTTCCATCGTATAGAGTGAATGATGGAGCTTTGATCTTTTTGTGTAGTACTACCCTTGCGATGCGTCGTACAAAGGGGTCATGTTGATCCTCTTCGTCTGAATCATTTCTTCTTCTCTTATTTCGTGCACGCGGACTTCCTTCGGAAGAATCGGAGACTTCGACTTGTCCTTTCTTTTTAGATTCTGGGGATGATGAGTCAGAATCACTGCCATTATCATGTCTCCGAATTCAGGGTCGTCGACCATCCTTTCTCAGAGGTCGTCTCAGGTCTTGGCGTGCGACCTATTGGGATTTTGCCACCTCCAAGGACAAATTCTGTCAAAGGCGCTCGTTCTCAGCCATCATGTTTTCCAACCTCTGTTCATTTTGCTTCGCCCGATCCATAATCGCTTACATTGTCTCATGTTGCTTATGTCGAGGGTGAGTCAAAGTTCAAGGCTCTTCGTGCGGAAATATTCTCTGGCCCAAGCATGTTGCTTGGAGTGGTATCATCTCGTGGCGTAAGGTCGTTATCGACTACTAGAGGATCTTCTATCACGCCTGCCATGGATGTGCTGGAGTATTCCCACAGACGGTACCAATCATGGAGAAGTGGTTTTGAAAATACTCTCTGGATCTTGTAGGACGCTTTTGATCCTCAGCAAGTCACCTGAAAATGAATGAACACTCCGGTCGGGGGTGCCGAAATTAGCACTCCGACGGATAAGTCAGTATATACTCTCTTGGTTGCTTATATCTTAAGTTAATCTTACTTATTCTCACATACCTTTCTTTGGCTGATGTTCTTCTATTTATATTTTTCTTTTGGGCCTCAGGATCGGGCCCACCCTTAATCCATTGCATGTTTATGTATTCGGCCTTAGTTCGACTGGTTCCCCGGCCGATTAATATATTCAGCTTTGGGATCATCCAAGATGAAGCCGAGTACAAATTACGTCCTTGACTGTCCTTATACCGTTATTCGGCTTTATTGTCCCCATAATATCCGACTCCCACAGTTTGTAGAGTTAATAACATTTCTCACCATTGAACCTCATTTGATTATGTTTTGGAAGCTAAGAACTCAAGTGAATATATGCATGACAAGTTCATATCATATTCTTATATTTCAAGTTGAATTTTTGCATGTTTGACATACTTTTGGGCCTTGATTTCATGAAATGATCTTCGGATCATAAAATTTTACAAGTTCCTACATGTTTTCCATAATTTTGGCCCAAGAAAATGAGTTTTGAGGTGTGGAATTAGAGTTTTGAACAAAGATAAACAATGTAGAAATTCTAGAATTTTGCTCTCCACTCGAGCGTAAGATCTACGCTCGAGCGTCCACCTTTGTTTTTGCATCTCTGCTCGAGCGACCAGAAGTTCGCTCGAGCGTGAATTACATGCTCCCAGAAGTTACATGTTTTTGCAGACCGCTTGAGCGGCAAAAGTTGCGCTCGAGCGAGGGAATGAGTCTCACGCTCAAATAACCATCGAGCGTTCGTCGAGCGTGAAAATCACACAACCAGTACTTTTTCAAAATTTTCAGAACGCTCGAGCGGAGAAAATTGCGCTCAAGCGTCCCTTCACATTGTTTTTATGCCCACTCAAGCGAGAACAGCTACACTCGAGCGTGAACCCTGTTTTCAGAAAATTTGACGTAGTGTTTTCAAATGCATTTTTTTTGCATCCTCATTCCATCATAGGCCAAGATTAAGGCATAATAATAAGGGTAACGTGAGAAACACACTATGAATCTAACATAAAGAGTTAAGTATGTTCCAACGTGTGTTTTAAATGTGTATTTGTTAGGTGTTGATGTAGGCCACATGCCGTAAACTGTTTGCTTAGTCTGCTCTGTCTGTCTGCACCCGAAGCCAACTGTGAGAAATAACTTAGTAAAGTTATGTTCAACCTTATTTACTTTCTGTATGGTAAAATAAGATCTATTTTCTGAAATGATATGTTCTGTACAATGAATGATTGTCCAATTTCTAATAATATATTCATGGCATCCTTAGCATTATGTAATATCTGTTAGCTATTACCCGGTATCGGAGGTTCCATCATGGAACTTAATATGTTTGCAATTTGTTACCCGTACCGGAGGCTCCATCATGGGGCTTAGCATGTTTATTCTCTGTTACCCGGATCTGGAGGCTCCTTTATGAAACTAGTTACTAATAACCACCATATGTTCTGCATCTGTTCTATATCTGCTCTATTAGCGCTAATGGATGTACCATGTATAATTAAGCATGAACTCTAATTTTCGTATATGATTTGAACAAGATTATGAATATAGATCTGCTTCTGTTTCTGAAATAAATATGAATCTGTTTATGAATCAGAATTATGATTTCTGAACTTGGTATGAACTTCATTCATTAAATCATTTACTCTGTTATTATTCAATGGGCTTCCGCTCACTATTTATATTATGTTTGTAGGTGATCAGGCACGTAACCAGGCTCAGAGTTGAGGACCTAGCGTCTCAGTTTTTGTCAGCCAATTTTTGTGCCTCCCGAGGAGGTTCCGGATTAAGTCAAGTTTAGTGCCTGTTTTTGTGAATGTACTAGACTTTGTTTCTTTTGATTTACAGGCAAGATTTCTGATAATATGTTCATGGAGTGATGTGTAAATACTGTATCTTCTGACGTCACTCGCAAGTTTATAGAAGTTTTAAATTATCTGTCTCATGTATGTTTTCACAACTCAATGGACTACGTATATTTTGTATACTTGCTTCTGCAGCCCCTAACTATATGTTATTCTGCTAAAAAGCCTTTGGTAATCTAAGGATTACTGGCTGGTTACGACACTAAACCTATAGAAGCGAGTTTGGGTCGTGACAAGTTATGAGCTTAATCATAATCTTACAATTATATATGTTTTTGGAACAAATTATTTCTCAGTTCATTTTTGCAGTTATATACATGTTCTCTGCCTCTATCTGTGTGATTTATTATATATATGTGTGTGTGTGTGTAGAGGTATAGAGATATATGTGGCAGCTGTGTGAATAACTACTTATAATTTTTGTTTCAACTTTGGACATGGTTGGTGATCGGAAAAGATATAAGTTTGTTGTTCAATGAATGGCAAATCTATGAAGTGTATGTATGGTATTTGAGGGGTAATGTGTATGTACTGTTTTCTTTATTAATATTCAATAGCCAACAAAAGCATTTATGCCTCATTCCCATAATCTAACAGGAATTCAAGTTGAATGAGACGATAAAAGTTGGGTATATCATATTTTTGGAAAAACAATGTTGTTTTATTGTTATAAAAGTATGTTTTTGTGAATGTTGCAAATGGTTACGTTACAGTTTGCTGTTATGTTATTGTGGATATGAAGGATGGATCTTATAAAATTATGCTTAGGGAATTATTTTGTTAAGTTTATGGGAATAGGTTGTTTTTATTAAAAAAACTTAATGTCAGTGAATGGTATTATATGAATTTGTTTCCTTCATGCCAAGGCAAATACAAGATGCATTCATTACAAACTTGAATAAGAATATATTCATTCATCAACCTGCAAAATATTACATTCATTATAAGGCAAGAACAATAAGTTTCCCATGACCACTGCCTTGTATAGTTGGAATAGAATCCAAGAAAATACAATAACCAAGCAAAAAAATTTCCAGCTACACAAAAAAAAAAAAAAAAAAAATTAAGGGTTAAAAAACAAAAAAAAAAAAAAAAAATCAGGGTTAAGGAAACCCGATTCCCGTTAGGGGGCAGGGGCGGGGGGTGAGGGTTTCCCGCCAAGGATAAGGGGCAGGGGCTGAGAATTTTATGACTTCGGAGATCGGAAACAAGGAGTGTAATCCCCAATCCCGCCCCGTTGCCATCCCATTAATCATTCAATTCCATTTCCCATCATTTTAATACCACCATAAATTTTTCAAAAAATACTAGTAATAAGTTATGCATGAACTCCTCAAGGAACTGCATTTAAATCTCAAATTTTGAGGGAAAAGAACAAAGGGAGAATAAAATCCAGTAAAAAACCAGTAAACAAAGAATTTTCTCATAAATGCCAATTCATTTTTTGTTTTCTTAGCCCAACCAAAAAAGCAGGGGGTAAAAAATCAGTTTCCCCCATTTTCCTTCAACAAATCCAAGATCCAAGCATGTTATTAACCTCATATGATGAAGAAATACTGGGCAATCATTCAATTCATTCCTTGTTTGCATACACTCATTCCCAGTTGGAAAGGCAATCCAAGCACGAAAACCATTTTTGTTGGCTTCAAGCATAATGATTAATGTTATATAAGAAATACATGGCGCAAAAGAAAAACATACATATAAAACTCAATTAACACAGTTGCACCCCGACTTGCAAACCAAATGTGTTATGTCTAAACACATCCAAGTCTACAGCAATGTAGAATTGAGCACCTGCAAAGTATTTCATTTCAATAATGCTTTCACAACAATCAAGGAAAAATAACCTTCTAGCCTAGGTTTTGGATTTTCAAGTTGTCAAGAAAAGCACAACAGGAGATCCAATATCAAAAGTCGTTCACGGTAACTGTTTGAAAGCAAAACTTCTCCATTGGTCATGTATTACTGTTTAGAATCTCGATACATTACAATAAATGATCTGAAACAAGCAGATAAGCTATAATTAAAATCATATAAACTAAAATCTTATTATACAATGATCGTGAATAATTGCAGAAAAACAAATTTGAAGTGACACAATGTTCACAATAATTACCAGCAACTCTGCCATCCAGAACAATTATGATGATATCAGAAACCATCCATGACAATACAGGATAATTATGGCTTCTCTGCAGAGCCGTCCCCACCCTGAAGTCGCTGACGAAGATCGTGACGAAGAACCTCCATAAATTCCTGCAAGATCCCAAAAAAGGGGAAGAGAAATAGAAGCAATTACAGACTGCAATGCAACAGGCAGATAAAAGTGCACTACATGCAATTACAAACAATTGTTTTGAAATTGAAATGGTGACAGGTAGAGAAATGGCACAAGACAAAATAATTACACTGGCAAGGCCCTCTTCACGGCACAATTCATTCACAAGATCTTCTCCATCACTGCCACTGTCATATACTTGGGCAGCACTTTCAGCTATAGTACGAAAAATTTCTTCAGGTGGAGTCTGGTGTTCGATTCTCTGAACCATTTCTTGGAGTTCAGTCTAGAAAAAGGAATCAATGCAACAAGAAATAAGGGATTTTTAAATTAAGCAACCATCAACTCAATGATATTTGATGTCAAATATTTGGGTACTTGCATGGGTGAAACGCTCCACCTCATACCAGTTGGGGCAGAATAGTCGGCGGAATAATACATTTCTAGAAGTTGAGCAAGTTAGCATAGATAATAATTGCAAATCTAAAAGAAACAAGAGCTACCCAAATAGTTTAAAAATCTCCTCAATTTTCACACCAAGGCTAATCACGTCCAACACATAACAATTGGGGCTTGTAGGCTGGCACAATGCCTATGCCATATCCAATACTTGCAGAAAAGCTTACAAGATAAATTACCAAAATAATAGAGAAGGGTGAAGAATGAAACAAGTGGACTGTTGAATTACAAATTTTTCATGATCATGTACTATTTGGTCTTTCTAAGTATACAACCAAAACCAAAAAATTTCTAGACTTTCAATAGCCAACTCAACACTGTTCTAAACAAAATGCAACACTCCAACAAGTGAAGAATTGAAAAACGGGGATGAAATGAAATGATACTCAGGTAGAACGAATTGTATGGATAAAATCCTCCCTTCCAGAATTTTAAATTTGGGACTGACAGATGGATCATCGTCCACCAAGAAGTAACTTCCAAACATGAATCTTCTTAAGGCTCCAATCATGATGCAAACACACAATATTCTTAGCTTGCAATATAACTAGGGGGATAAAGCTGCACTTCTAAATGAAGCCCAAACTGACAGTCGTCTTATGGTCCCAGCCAGAAGGAGAACTAACTGAACTCTACTTAGGTTCCTTTTACACAAATGAACAAGTAAGTGCTCCAAAAATCAAATAACCCACACAAGATTCATACCACATAGTTAGGAATGTAGGTTACTGTGTAACACATGGAAACCAGTTGCTGGCTTCAAGTAATCTGTACATTAATCAATTAAAGTTCAAGAGAGGTGTGTGTACATGATGTAAAGCACTGGACTGCATTCATAGGTATCGAGATTTCAATGTCTTAGATACAGACCTGAGTATCTTGATCATTTGCTTTCTCAACACCGCTCAAATTTCTTTCATTGTACTGTGGCTGGGGATCAGGCCTGACAACTGGCAACTGTTGAGGGATTGTAGACCTACCACTGAGAGCTTGAGAAACTATGGGCATCATCTGTTGAACCATACTTGTCAGATCAATGCCACCACCTTGGCCTCTACCAAACCCTGAAAGCATGTTTCCAAGGTCTTGGTTATCAAACTGTTGAGCCATTTGATTTACTGTATTCCTCATAGCAGGACTTTGAGTAACTTGCTCCAACATATTCCTCAAGGCATCAGAAGAACCAACGCCAGTCTGCTCTGAAACCCCTGCCAATAGACCATTTAGAGCAGGACTATGAAGAACCTGAGACATAACACCTGCTGCATCAAACTGACCATCAGCACCTTGCCCTCCCATTTGGACACTTTCCATGATACGCCCAAGGGCAGGTGGCAGCTGTCCTGATGATGTGGAATTTGTATTCCTCATGTTGGCAAGAGATTGCAAAATCTGCTGGCCATTCGTTCTTGTTTGTTGATTTTGACTGGGAGCACTAGAAGTTGCATCACTACCCTTGCTCAGTGATCTTGGTTGCATACTACGTCTCTGATCAAGAAAGTAATACACAATTTTAGTAAAAAACAAATGGCCAATAATATTCCAGGGGTTCCAAAATATATAAATAAAGTACAGAATGTAAAACAAATGGAAGCAAAATTGTAATAAGTACCAAGGAATTAAATATAAAATTTATATTTTACTCCTCCAAATCAAAGCCCTCACGTTACTAAACAATGTCACGTGTTGTGTGTTCATCAATAAAGAAAACAACCATGGAGATGAGTGTAGGTACATGTATCCATCTCCATTACATGACACTGCCACGTCATGACCTTATGGGTTAGTTGGCACCACGTGTTATGAGGCAACACGTGAGCCAATGTTGAATTGGATGCACCATTTTTGGGTTAACTCAAATGTAGGGTCTCCCATCACAAATCTCCTATTACAGATTTCCTGTGGCAATCTCCTTCCCACTTGTCCACAGGAGATTTGCCAAAGGACTTAACCAAACTAGGCTGGCAGTAGGGCGTCGACCCTCACATGGGACCATTGAAGGAATGTGGCTTGGAGCCTAGAGACGAGGGATTGTCAAGGTTGCTTCAACCAGGCTTAGACAGAGAGAAGTGTATCCAAGACCTCTAAACGTCTCATAACACTAAGGTATGATGGCGATCATGGGTGCAACAAGAAATCTCCATGTTTTATCAGTGGCGTGGAGGGAGATCCCTAGGAAAGATTACAGGACAAAAGATCCCTAGACACAACAAATAAATTAAGCCATGTGTCCCCCTTGAGTTGACCTCAATGGCCAACCTCCCTATCTGGGCTTGCTGTGCAAGAACATCAAGCCTTTTCCAATTCCCTTTGGCAAGATCAGGAAAATTTCCACTGCCACTCTCTCTCTCTACTAGGGCTTCCAGGTGATCCTTTGCCAATTGTGTGCCTACCATCTTCCTACATCACCACACCAAGCACCAATCAAATGATTGATCCCAACTCAATGGGACAAGTCAAAGCTGTAACAATATCAAGTTTATTTGGAGATGCAACATCCTACTTGGTTTAATTCAAGCCAAGGATCAGAGACCACGGAACCTACTTGCCAAACTTCTACAATTAAAACATCAAATGCCTTCAAGTGCAACTATGAGTAGATAGATTTCGCTCCCAGGAAGAAAATGATGCAGATCACCCTCTGCTTCAGTTTGCTCCAAATTCAGTGTTCCACCCCTTTTATTGTGTTTCAAATGCAAAAGGTGAAAATAACTGAGGTAATAAAAGGAAAACAAGCCTCTTTCACTTCAGATCAATCTGGTCTCTTAACACATCAAAGGGTGGTGTTTCTACAGTATTATGCCCAACACAACAAAAGTTTGTGGCATCATTAATCAGTAGTCCAGAAAGTGAGCTCCCCATTGCCTGATAGGCGTGAACATAACAACCAAAGGTCTCTAAGTTGTCTAAATTTACATTATCTATATTCATATATTTCATTTTTATGCATCAGACATATATTTATAATTTTATAGTGGTAAATCAGAAATAGTATTCAAACATGTCCCATTGAACAAGTTCTTCCACTAGACAAAAGACAAATGACCACCCAAACATAATTCAGGATAATGAACCCAACAAGATATACTTCAAGAAGTAGAAATCAGACCACCTTAGGTTGCAAAGCTCCCAGCCCTAATCCAAGTGGAACAGCTGTGGCAAACTCTGGATTATCATTCCCGCAACCAGATCTTGGAGCAGCACATTCTGAGCTAGTAGAAGATACATCTTTTGAATTCACACCGCTTTCTGTGACCTTGTCATCACTAGTTTGGCAGCATTCAGTATGTGCCTGGCAGTTATTTAGTTAATCAATTCCAGTTTCTAGTCAACAAATCATGCAAACTTCAGGTAAATGAGAATGCTGGCCTGCACAATAGGTACCTTCTGACCATCCCTCTCAGGCACACCACCAGGGACAGACGGACTTGCCTCTCCAGCTCCATTGTCAGCCAGATTTCTATGCTGAATGTTCCCTTCATCATTGCCAGCATCAGATCCTATAGATGGATTCTGGACAGTCAAAATCTCTGATCGGCCTACACAAATGTCAAAGGGCATTTCAGTGTAAATCATAGCTTATACTCGGGGGACCTCAAATATTTTATGGTACCCCACCTGATGGAGCCTGGTTTTCACTCCGCATGTTATCAACATAGTTTCTGATTCGTGAATTGACTTCAGATATAACTGTAGATAGCGGAACAGAATCAGGTGGCGGCTGTGAAACAGAAACACCAGTTTGAGAAGTACTGGAAGTTGTAACAGAGAGTCGAGATGGGACAGCAGCTGCAATAACATTTCTTAAAGGCAGTACCCGTGTTTGACCTGAATCGGCAGAACCAGTTCGATTACCAGGTTCTCCCTGCACCCCTTCTGCATTAGATGCCCTGGGACCAACAGCTGAAACAATAGTTGCATGTGAGTGTCCTGATATAAGAAGTATTAGTGTCAAGTTATATAAGAAGGTATATATAATGTGTAATATCCTTACCAGTATGTATATGAATATTTACGTGTCTTGGAACGGTTCCAATACCAACAGCACCAGAAGTCCCAGAATTTGGCGGACCAGCAATAGAACCACCAAACAGGGAGTTGGTTTGAAGAGGAAACGGCTGCAAACAAATATATGCACATATCATTCAGATGTAAAAAGTGAAACCTTCATTAGGCAGCAAATGGTTATTCAAAGATGACACCGTTTTTTAGACCATATTCCCTAAAAACGACCTGGGGTACCTCATGGGGTGGCATCTTGTTGAAAGAGAATTAATCCTGAACAGTTTTCAAGAAGTGCCAATTCTTGACCCAAAAAACTAAGCAAGCACAAAAAGACGCATGCCACTTTATATAAGCAGCACAAGGCTCACACATAACTAATTGAGACACCATACAAGTCCACCACAGTCATTGGAAAGCAACAATATCTCCAAACTAAACACAATTCAGAAGATTAGTTAGCATCTAGGAAGCACAGACAATCCAAAATGGGCGCCGTGTCCATGTTCAACACTTGTCAAACCCCAACACCCATGTCCGTGCGGCATGTCTATTCTTTTAATTATTTCTGAAGGGCACAATGGGGGCACTTCATAGATATGTGTCCTATGTTTGGGCACAGCTCAGGACATCTTTATGGGGCTTTTTTTAAAATTTTAGAAAGCTGATTTAAGATCAAATAAAATACATGGAACAAAGAGGGAAAGTGAAAAAAAGAAACAAAAAATACACCTACATATACATCGATGCCTATCATATCTCTGTGCCCTAAATTTATATTCATATACATAGCAAATAAAAATATATTAAAATATACTTTTCTGTGGTATCTCCACAGCGTATGTATCCTAATGTTTTGAAAATCATTGTCCAGTGTCCATGCTTCTTAGGTTAGCACTAGAACAAAAAAATTTCTTTTCAATCCATCCGTCACCTAGAATCCTTGCATTTCTAACCATTATAACGAGAAACGTCAAATTGTAGGACTCTTAGCACTACAATAAATTTACTAACAAATACACATAACAAAGGCAATATCCGACTTTGTCACAAGACTTGGGTATGAATATCAAGTGTGAGTATATGTCTAGGTGTTAGACCTTCCTAAACCCTACAAAGTTGGGTACGGGTATGCGGACACATCTTGAATATTTAAATATACTATATTGTATAAAGTTTCGATCTAAGATGTTATCATTTAGGAATGTACTTGAAATCAAACGAGATTTTGGAGAATAAAGTGCTTTTATCTCCCATCTATGTGAGAGACTATAAATTTTTCTTTACCATCAAATTTGATTTTCTTCTTCAAACTTCGTGAACTAATAACATGATGCAAGCTACTAACTTAGGTACAGGGCATAGAAACAAATAGCATACCCTTACCCTTGTCATTTCTAGGGGATACAACTTACAAGTACACTCAGGGTAATAGAAGAGTCCACGTAACACAGCTCTCGCCACAAACAATCGCACAAGTATCTCATTCACATTTGTAAGCAGCAATGCTGCACATACTACTAACTAGACCTTTTCCAACACTAGAAGCGGCATGTTCAAGTTAGTGCCATAACCTTTTATGTTTTAGACTAAAAACTTCAATCCTACTAATACAATTTGGACTTCAATCAACTTGAATATTGAACAATGGTTTGCTACCACAAAAAATGCTTTCAGCTTCAAAAGCACCTAATTGGTTAATGCTATGATGGAAAATGGAATGTCTAAAATCATTTACAAACCTGAACCATTATAGGATTTGGCCCGGATGGAGATATATAAACTGCAGGCCCGGCATTCACATAAGACTCGGCCTGCAATATATGCATACAAAAAATTGTAAGTGAAATTCATTCAAAATCTGAAGCAAAGTACACAGGACGGACAAGATCTTACAGGAGATTGTCCCATACGCAGAGTCAAAATTGTCCGCCCAAGCTCTAGCAAAAGCGCACCTAAATGTTGCATTGCCAACCCTACTTGCATAGATTCTGTCTGAATTTGACCCCTTACCATGGGATCAGTAGAACCCCCCTCCTGCTCCAGACGTCCTGCAATATGCTACAGAGTTGCAACAGGTTACAAATAACACTATCAGATAAAATAAAACAAAGAAGTACAGCACTATTTGCGAGGTTTATTCATATCCAAGCATTACTTCTGTGCGAACCCACAGAATAAGTGTTAGATGCTGGATTCTTTCTTAAACCTTTCAAAGCCAGTATTTGTTTTGCAATTTGCAGTTACTTTGAAAAAGGTGACTGAGTGAACTCTTAATACTATCTGATTCCAACACTAGATTAGTATATCAACACGTGGTCACACAAAGCATTGAAAATTGCACATACAAAGAAATGATGTGTGCAAAATATACGTAACTTCCAAGGCTTTCTTTGCCAAGATACAACCCAAATCATGAGTCCATTAAAACAATACACAATTGCACAAGCCACCCAGATGATAACAATCTACTCTCTGATGGATGTAAATTTACAATATATTCCCAGCATCTAAGATTAAATATACTTATGCATTGAATTATCAAGTATCACCAACAGATAATTCTTATTTCACCTGAGATCAACTAAGAATTCATTATAGTCCTCCCAAATTGTTTAACAAATAATGTATATTTTCTTTTCACGCATAAAGTGTCCAATCATCCAAATTTCCCCCTCTTACAAATCAAAACAGTTATGCGAAAACTACTATTATATACTAAGCTAATTACAGAATTTGGGTTCTAAAGGAGTACACTTATAAGGTCCCAACTATTTTCACTTCCATTTTAGTGAATATATTGGTACAATTAAAGTATCTATCGTTATATGTAAATAGGTAGAGGGGAATTTGCATTAGGCTGCTATTAAGATTATCTCACGCCCCCTCACCCTCTCGCACTTGGCACTGATCACTAAATAAGGTCCCTCTTAAACTGAAGAAAAAGAAAGGAACAAGTAAAAAAGAAAGAAAGAATCAATTAGAGAATAGCACAAAATCAAACCAAAAGAGTTTTTCTTCTGTGCAAATTAATCAATTAACCTCAAAACCAATAAGTTTTATATAGATAAAATAAATAAATATTATTTCAATTTTCAATTGTTATTTTGGAAGCACAACAATAAAGCAAAAGGGAGAAAAGGGAAATTTGCATGGTTGCTTCAAGATCAAATAATCATGTTGACTCATCCAATGCCAGAAGGGGACTTTGATATGGAGACTCCAATCCTTAGCTTGACAACTAGAAGCAATAGTTGAGTAGCTATCAGGCATTGGAGTCCAGAAACTACTGCACCTAGCTAGGAAATAGCGTCAGTTTCTACTAAAGACCATTTCCAACCGGAGAGTTGCTTCAAAAATGATCATACTAGAGAAATAAAAGAACATGAAAGAAGGATAGACAGTTTTTGGAGATGGATACAAAATAACCACCTCACAAAGTAAAATTAACAGAACAATAAAAGCCAAAATAAAGTTCTCTGAGTGAAGTGCATACAGATAATGCAGCAACAGTGTGACCACTCAGAAGCCGTTGTGCATGTCGCAGAACAATAATCAATGCTTCAGGTGTTGACAATCCACGTGCACTTTCCACTGCTGACAGATCTCCAATGCTGGTTGGTGATGAATTAGGCTGATACCCTACACATAAATATGTATATAGACATGTTATTCTGCAAAGTAAATACAATAAAAAATAATAATAATGAGATTACGATTTTGAAATCATCACCATGCTGTGACAATGCCAGCTCCATGCGGTTCATGAACTCGGAAAGTGTGTGCAAAGAATCAGGAATTGGCTGCAAATCAGAAACAAATGCATATATAAGAAACAACCAGATGCAACGCAGGTAAGAGTTTGACAGAAAAGACATAATTTTTCTACCGTATTAAGAGAAGGAACAGGAATTGCTGCTCCCAGTGGGATTTGCAAAATCTGGGGTAAGGATTGACTTGGTAATGCCTGTGCAGGCTGTGTTTGACTTCCTGATTGGCCCAGTGCACCAATATTATTTTGCCTTCCTTCTGCTTCATTTCTTTGAGAAGCCTGGACTGGAGTGTTGAACTGAAAAGAAAAGTACCAACTAGTCAAATCAGGTGACTGTTAATATCAATCTAGCAACTCCAAGGGTAGCCACAACATTGTCAGAACACATTTCCTACTGTCTCATACAATCAAATATCACATCAATTAAACAGTTGTAGCCATCAGTTCCACGTTCACATCAATCAACAGTTTGACTGAAAGATGGTCATTGAGGGGTTGTAACAAAACAATAGGATAAATGAGAAAAAGTAAACCTGCACAGTGGGTTGCACACCCCCAGTAACATTAGATGCAGTCTGGCCACCAACGCCAATAGAATTCAAAACTGCACCAATAATCTGAAAGCCGATCAACAAAACAAGGTGTTAGAGCCATAATATATGGATATAATCCAACCATGATACCCTCAATGGATTGCAGAAAGAAAAGGCCAAGAGTTAGAGGCCTACAGACATACCCGAGTTATATCTGGCACAATTCCTTCTCCTTGGTCCCCAACATTAAGCGTCCCAAGTACTACACTGTGCGATACTTGCCCAATGCGATTATGTGGACCAGCAGCATTAGCATCATGTCCTGCAAATCCAATAGAAAAATCTTAGTGAAATCTCCTGTAAAAATAAAAGCTCACAACCTCGTAAGACTAAGGGCTCGTTTGGAAAGTTGGCAATTTTAGTTGTCTTTTTGGTTGTTTTAGGCCTGGTTTGGCATATCCCAAATAATTCAAAAAGCCAAAAAGTTAGTAAAAAAGTTTAAAAATTATCACTATTCATCAAAAAAAAAATTAATTTTACACAAAAATTATTACAACTCAGATTGACGTCCCACAGACTTTTGCTGAGTTTTTTGAAAAAATTGCACAGGCGGAACGCACAAACAACACGGTGTTGTTCAGCCCGTGGGGGCCTATCACGGGTCTCATTTGATAATCTGAATAGTTCAATGTGTAGAATTCGTCGAATACTATATGCCTGTAAAAAATCACGTTGATCGGATATCGCTAACTACATGATCAAATCAATTTTGTATAAAAAAATGGATGGTGTTATAATTAACGGTTAAAAAAAAAAAACTAATTCGATCAGATAGCTATCAATATCCGATCAACGTGATTTTTTCAAACATATAGTACTCGACGAGTTCTACACATTAAACGGTTCCGATTAACAAAACGGGATCCAAAAATAAAAGCTCACAACCTCGTAAGACTAAGGGCTCGTTTGGAAAGTTGGCTATTTTAGTTGTCTTTTTGGTTGTTTTAGGCCTGGGTTGGCATATCCCAAATAATTCAAAAAGCCAAAAAGTTAGTAAAAAAGTTTTAAAATTATCACTATTCATCAAAAAAAAAAAATAATTTTACACAAATTATTACAACTCAGATTGACGTCCCACAAACTTTTGCTGAGTTTTTTGAAAAAATTGCACAGGCGGAACGCACAAACAACACGGTGTTGTTCGGCCCCTGGGGGCCTATCACGGGTCTCATTTTGATAATCTGAATAGTTCAATGTGTAGAATTCGTCGAATACTATATGTCTGTAAAAAATCACGTTGATCGGATATCGCTAACTACATGATCAAATCAGTTTTGTATAAAAAAATAGATGGTGTTATAGTTAACGGTCGAAAAAAAAAAACTAATTCGATCAGATAGCTATCAATATCCGATCAACGTGATTTTTTCAAACATATAGTACTCGACGAGTTCTACACATTGAACGGTTCCGATTAACAAAACGGGATCCGTGATGGGCCTCCACGGGCCGAATAACACCGTCTAATGCAATACCCGAAAAGGAGGCAACCATTTCTTATATCAAATCACTCTGCCCAGATAGTACAGGCTGTACTGCATACTCTCCCTAACTTCTCCTATACTAATTTACACAATTTTTTCGTAAAAAGTCAAAAAATTAACTCAAACAATCATCTTTTTTTCCTCAACTTTTTAGTCTTAAAAGTCAAAAAGTACACTTATTTAGGACATCCCAAACAACCCCTTAGTCTGGGTAAAAGGGTTGTGTTTGAGAAGTTGGTTGGCTTTTTTTCTTCTTTTTTTTTTGTAGTTGATTTGATGGTTGTAAGAGAAAAAAATAAAATAATTATAGTTTGAATGCAACATTTTGTAGTATTGGCTATTTTAGCCGATTTTGTCTTTACTGGCTATTTTAGCCAAAAAAGCCACCAAACTCACTTCCCAAACAGCCCCTAAATTAGCCAATGAATCAATACCTCTGTTACCATTATTTGCACTTGTCTCTCCAGTACTCATACTAGAATGGGGCTGCGCTTCAGAAGGCTGCCTGGCAACTAGATGCAATGTATGGCCATTGTCAACATCTATCCATAGTCAAGGCTTTATACTACCCAAAAAAACAATACAATGAGACCTTGACATAGAATGAATGTACAGTGTCGAGATTGCTGCATTGCACTTTCTAGAAGAGGAAAGTATCCTCATCAAAGAAGAATAAAGGGGTGCAGGAAAAACATTCCTGACTAGCAAATTAACAATGTCGATTTATTTTGAAACACCAATATGCCTCCATTCAATTCAAAATCTCAAACAAACCAACCAGTGCACTTTATCTTTTTTTGTTTTTTGATCAGCAACCAACACTTGAAATCAGTAAACACACAATCCGTTTCTTTATAGACATATAACTAATCCACAAACCACATTACCTGTCCTAAAAACCGACACCCTATAATTGAAGACATAGTATTACAATTTTTTATGTAGATGGCTACACAGTAAGGCATGAAACCAACATAGTTGATCATCCAGAATCAAAAATACTCATCCCAGTGAACCTTGTTTGAAAGAAAATATGCTTATTCCATAAAATCCTACTGTTCCCTCCACCATGACTCATCATTTTCCATGTGGAATATTTTCATGATAGGAGAAAAGGCTTGGTGGTTTTGTGGGAATGCAATGCCATAAACTAAAGAACCCTTTTATGGTCAATGGAAAAATCCAATGTCATCTAAACATGACTTAGAAAATACATCATAAATGTCTGGAATGGTAGGATACGATATTCGGAAAGCTGGTGATCATCCTTCAGCACTTTTCCCCTAAATATCAGCCGCTGCTGCCCGACCGGCAGACCAATTTCACTAGCTATTTTCTCCTTGAACTGTGAGACTGGCATCTGAAATTTTTCAAGATCAAGAGCACATACCAATGAGTAAACATTATTGAAAAGGTTAAATTTATGTATTAAAATAAAGTCCGAGTTCAACAATGTTCAAGCCTATATAGTGTATATTTCAGTAATTCTGAAAAACTTCAGATACGCAACTCAATTACAATTTTAAATGGTGCAGATATTAAGATTACAATTGGAAATTATTATTATTACAAAATTATCCACATTAACAAGTAAAAAGCTATCAACATGACTTTAAAAAAATAAACAAAAATTAAGAGAGTTGATAAAATTACATTTTTATCCACTTGGAAGCTATAGATCTGTGAATCTAGTGTCTTTATATTCAGCTCGACCATTGATTCTGCGATTTCACCACCAACATCAGTCGTACCGGAACCTTCAATTGAATGCTGATCCGCCATGTAATTTGACAGGAAGCTGATTGCTAAAGAACAATTCATATCATAATGAGTCAATGCCAGTAAAAAAAATTGTGAACAATTCTAATAAGTTTATATATAAAAGGATGTTAGGTAAAGCTATGTGTGTGGAAGCCACACAAACAACTTAAGATACCAGGCCATTCAACTTAGATATTCAAATGCCTAATAGATAAATCTGAATGATATTTCAGTTCATCACAAGCAACAATCTATACAAACCAAAAATGTAGAATGTAAATCACAATTGAGTGTACACCTACGAATACCATAAATTGAATATTTGAAAGGCCAACAAAAAACTTATTTTATTATGTCTCTGTCTCTTTCTTAATTTCTCCTTTCAAAGAGGGTGCTAATTATTTTCTTTTCCTTGTTGGCTTCCATGTCACCAACAAATACGTTAGTTCATACATTTGCAGATACATAGAACTAAACCTCTACATAATTATTAAGAATTTAACAAATATCACATAAATTAAATATAGCTCACTGCATCTGATTCTCCTCCTGGGTCGCTCTGCCTTACTTATCATGTAAAATACATTCCACTATCTTATATATTCTTATGCAAAAGCAAAACAAACAAAAAAACACTATCTCTGTCAAACAATTTACTGTCTACTCCGGAACTGTGACATTCTACATCACGTTGCGACCAGCATAGCTGGCCATTTAAAGATAGCCATGGTAGATGAAAACAAAAACTATTTTCTGATGTGTTTTTGCATTTTGGGTCGTAACAAATATAACACAAATTATGATTCTTGATTGAACCGAAAATATAAATTCCTAAAGTTTTTTTTTTTGGTCACAAAACAGATGATAGTTTGAACAATTAATCAATCTACATACCAACATTAATAGACTAACCTCAATCACCAAAAATATTGATAAGTCTATGAAAGTTTGAAGTAAAACCCTACCCTAGGGTTTGTGAAACATTGGAGAAAAAGTTGACAAAATTCCTTCAAATATTATACACAAGAAAAGAAGAAAAAAAAATTCGATGAACTGGGCAGATAGTCGGATTTAAGTAGTGTGATACGAACGAAAATTCTGGGAAACAAACAACAACAAAAAATAGGGAAAATTAGGCTATGATGCTTCAAAAAAATACGGATGAAACAGAAAATTCAACTGACCAAGGGTTTGCAGGAGAAACAGAGAATGAATCGAATTGCTTATACGTATATATAGGTATAGTCCGATATGAAACAAGTGAAGAAGAAATCGAACCTCTTAGATAGGGAAGGCTTTGAATCGGGTACAGAGAGAAAAAGAAGAAGCTGAGAAAAATGTCTGATCGGCTTTGTACGGACACCTTGGAGAGTAAGAAATAAAACCCTCTTTTTTTCTGGTCCCACTACTAGTGGTGCCCGGTGGTATGCCAACACGATCCGCTCTGTCCCGCCTAGGTTTTTACTGTCCCATCAGTTTTTTGGGAGGTTGGTTTTGATAAATTTTTTAGGCAAAAAAATTGGTTGTTTTTGGTCAAAAAGTTAATTTTATTGGCTAAAAAAAAGTTACTATTGTTTCCAAACAAATCCTAAATGAAGCTTCGTTTGGATATATCACTTTTTAGTGGGTGATTATTTAATATTTTTTGAGTACAAACTTGTGGTGTTTTATAAAATTTTAATTGGTAAAAATGATAAAGACTCACGATTTATATTTGAGATAAGGAATAACATGAGGCTAAGTAATTAGTGATTAAGTTGAACTATGCTCACTTGGTGTTTCAAAATTATTGAATAATTTTCTCTTTTTAGTTTAAAAATTAAAAAATCACTAAAAAAATTAAAAAGTCAATAATTTATACCAAAAAATTTTAAAAAAAAATTTCTCTCTACTTTTACACTTATTTTCATAAAAAATTAAAAAAATCATTTCAAACATACTAATTTTTTTACATTATATTTTAGTCAAAAAATTAAAAAGTTATTAAAAAATATGTTTCCAAACGAGGCCTTAAAGTTGATAAAAATAAATAAATCAATAAAAACTAAAATCAATTTTAATTTGGATGAAATTTTAATAACTTTTAAAATGTGATCTTATGAACTTTTAATTTTTTTTTCTTATAAATTCAAAAATCTCTATAAAGTGAAAATTATACCAAAAAAAAAAATAGTTATTTATATGTTTAAGTTTAATTTTTTACAAATAAATGTGAATTTTTTCAAATGTAAAATTATATATTTTGGTAATCCGCACTATAAATGTTTTGGATTTTTCCTATTTTTTAAGCAAATCCCACATTACAAATAATAACATAACACTCTAATATAATACTCAAAAAAAATTTCTTGGTGTATTTTTTTTCTAAACGTAACACTCTAATATAACACATAAAAAATTCTTGTGTATTTTTTCCAAACGTAACACTCCAATTAATGTAATTTCAAATATAACACTCTAATGTAACACACAAAAACACTAAAAACATGCATAGAGTATTTTTCCCAAACATAACAACGTAACACTAAAAAAACTCTTTAATGTATTTGTTTCAAATGTAACACTCTAATGTAACATATAAAAAATAAAAAATAAAAACTTCTTATTGTACTTTTCCGAAACGTAACACTCCAATCAATATAATTTCAAACGTAACACACTCCAATTAATGCACACAACAATACTAAAAAACTCCTCGGTGTATTTTATCCAAATGTAACACTCACAGTCTGGAATTATACATTTGTCCAAAACTTACTAAAAAATATTTTACTCATTTTGAAATGGTTTGAAGAATCTCACGCTATTTTTTGGGAGTGTTACATTTGGAAAAAATATACTAATAGATTTTTATTTTTATTTTTGTATTACATTGGAATGTTACACTACGAAAAAAAAATTTAGTATTATATTACATTTGGAAAAATACACTAAAATTTTTTTACAGTGTTATATTAAAATGTTACATTTGAGAAAAATACACTAAGAAGTTTTTTAAAGTGTTACATCGAAGTATTACGTTCCAGTGTTACATTAGAGTGTTATAGTTTGAAATTATACAATTGCCCAAAACTTACTAATGAGTTTTTGTATTCATTTTGAAATGTTTGAAGAATTTCACATTTTTTTGGGATGCTTGAACAATTCCATATTTCAAGTCATTTTTATACTCCTATGTTTTCCAAATAAAAAAGATTTACAAATTCGATTATTATAGATTGTGTACCTTATCTTTTTAGCACAAAAATAAATATAAAAAAGAAAAAAAGAAGAAAGAAACATAATAGAAATAAGGGTCCGTAAATATAACTTTCAAATAATATGTTAAATCTACATTTTCAAAATCAATGAGACTAATTGATTTATAAGAAAATTTTTAGAATTAAACGGATCACCGTTCCCCAAGATGGAATTTCTAGGTAAATTTTCCTTTTAATTTTACATCTCTAGCACGATTCTATTGAAGGGTGTTTGGGGTTTTTAATTTATTTATTGGGTAAATTATGTAAATAGTTCATGTAATTTACATGATGTGTCAATTTAATTCGTATTATTTTAATTTGTTCGATTTTGTCCATTAATTTAATGTAAATAGTCCAATAAATAATGGTCGTTAGGTTTGGTGAGTGAAAAGTCGTCACATGCTTAAACAATATATCAATTTGGTCCTTATAGTTTATAAGATGTGTCAATTTGGTTTCTATTATTTTAATTTACTCAATTTTTACATGGACCAAATTGACATATCGTGTAAACTACATAGACCAAATTGATACATAATTTAAATTTTCGTCCACCAAACCCAACAACCATTATTTATTGGACTAATATGACACAATCAATTAAGTTAAGGGGTAAAATCAAGCAACTTAAAAATAATATAAACCAAATTGACACATTATATAAATTATAAGGACTATTTTCATAATTTACCCTTATTTATTTTTGTTTTGGATGCATTTGTGTTTTTTTTTTTTTTTTAATTAGGCTTTAAAGATGAAATGGAACTTTTTTAAAAAAATTAAAAATTTTGAAACAAATTTCCAAAACCATAAAAGTAAACCAAAAATTTTGTTTTTTTTTTTTTTTGTGTGCTTATTTTTTAATTTTTATTTATTTTTTATTTTTTAAAAAATATTTTTTAGATTTGTTTACACAAGATGAGCCAAAAGTAAAAAATAATTTTTAAAATGGGTAAATTACACCTACCTCCCTTTAAGTTTCTTACAAATGCAGAGACCACCTCTACGATTTTAATAATTACATAAACTTCTTCTACTTTAATTGCCAATATCAAGATTTTCTCAATCTTTCAATTTTGCACAAACTATATTATTTGTCTATACAAAATGATCATTTTACCCTTTGGTTTGAACGTGAAAAGACGAAAATACCTTAGAAAATATGCCTTTTTACTTTTTTAACCTAGAGCCACCACCCACAACTTTCCTATTTCTTTATTCTCTCTCATGCTCCTTCTCAATCTTTCTAATAATGAAATCAAACCCTACTCTCTCTTCCTCCCTCCCCAACAATGCCTCTCATTGAAGACCACTGATGATGAGATTGGACCTATTTTATTCTCTCGTAACGATGACCAACGACCATCACCACACCCAACCTAACCCACCATCTCCAAAAAAACTCTGCAACCGGACTGTGGGGATATATTTTCTGAGTACCAACACGTGGCCAAGGTGACGCCGATATGTCAACCGGGGTGCCACGTGTCATAGTCGTGACGCCGAGGTGATCTCGGCTAGGCCGAGGTTATCTCCGAAGATATCGGAGTCCGAGATAAGCGGATAAGGGACAAGAGTCCTAGAATGAGGAAGGACTTCAGCCTGGATAAGGATAAAGCTCTTAGGGAGTTTATCTTTATCTATTGGAGAGTCCAAGATAAGCACTGAGCTGAAGTCCATTAAAGCTAGGCTTCTATTGGAACTAGGATTGTGTTGGCTATAAAAGAGAGGCACCCCCATGGGTTTAAGGTACGCATTTTATACTTTGAATAGTGAGTTAAGCAATTTTTCTATCTTTAAGAGATAACTGGCTTGATCATCGGAGTGCCCCCGGGTGGACGAACCACTGCCGGAATCTCTTCTTTCTGTTGTAGGTCATTCATGCGCTATCTATTCTGCCAGTGCTCTCCAATTGAATACCGAGTTGGCAGTGTGGTCAGAAATTCACTCACACAATTTGGCGCCGTCTGTGGGAAGAAAAGGAGAATAGATGGCCAACGACGGACAGAAAAAGAAGATTGGGGATGACACTCCTACTGGGAGTGAGAGACCTATTGACCTTGACGTCGAAGAAGACAACTGTAATGAAGAAACTCGTGATTAGAATCACGGAAGAAAGGACGTCGGCCAAGAAGGCGACATACCAAAGAAAACGGACCAAAGCGGGTATTATAATGAGGACTCCCTTCAGGTATGAAAGGATAAGTGCCTACGGAGGGACAGAGAGGTAAAAAAAATGGCGAACAAATTGACGGACCTACAAACGGTCGTCAATTTCATGATGTAAAACAACGTCATGCAGCCACCGTTCCCGCTGTAGGACACGCCGATTCCAGCGGCCAATGCCCAGAAGGGAAGGCAGAAAAAAGTCCCACAGTACACCAGGAGCGAAAAACACTCTCACCGGCCTTCAAGGGAGGTCGGGCGAAGAGAGTCGAGAATGGAGGAATCTCGAAAGACACACCGCACCAAGGAAGCAGATCCCAGAGAACATTGGCATGTTCAAAGACAGGAGTTGTGTTTCGATACAACCAATGGAGAAAGGTCGAAAAAGGCTCACAACGAAGCTGGGAGTAGTGCACCTAAAAGACTGGAATAAAGAGATAGCCGAGCTCCTGGGCGGACCAAAGAGAACTTGAGAGATTACCTCAAGAGGAAGCTTCAAAATGCCGAGGTAACTTCCCCTGATAAGTCGAGAATACCATTCTCGGTGGAGTTAGACAAATTTGAAGCCCCGAAAAGATTCAGTATGCCGAGATTCTAGATATACGGTGGTAAGTCGGACCCTAACTTTCACGTTGGTTTATACCTAAACTCGATGGCATTGTACACTATGAACGAGCCGTTGCTTTGCAAGGTGTTCTCTTCATCCTTAGGGGAAATTACATCAGATTGGTTTCACAAATTGCCAAAAATAAGTGTGAAGACCTGGGAAGGCCTGGCCGAGATGTTCATAGCCAGGTTCATGACAAACAAACTACAGCCATTAAGGGTAGACGCCCTGATGGCTCTGAGGATCAGTGAGGATGAAGGCCTTAAGGCCTACACAAAAAGGTATTATGAGTTGTTCAATCGAATACTCGAGTGCAACCAAGAGGTGGCAGTCGTGTCTTTTAAGAACGGCCTAAAAGATGATTGTTCACTACAAAAGTCATTGGTAAAGACATTGCCAAAAAGCATGGAGGAGCTCATGGC